TGGAATGTAGAGCAGCAGGAGGCAAATAGAGGCATTCTGAGACTTGTGCTCCAAGGAGAGCTGGCAATAAATACAGTAGATTGGTTGACTGATAAGGATAGAATGGGGTTGGAAAGCTGCATACTCTCATGAAGTAAGCTTGTAATTGTGTTCTTCCAAAAGTGACAGAAACTATTCAAACTATCCCATTTTTCTTTTCTCCCCTGTCAACCTTCACTTCAGTCTGTGTTGTCATGGCAGAATCTTGCTCAAAATTGTCTATTGCTTTCCAAGGGCTGGATACATGCTCAGGTACATACAACCTGGGAAACAGTGATATAGTCACCTTTGATCATTTTAAAGATATGGTTTTCCCGCTTGTGAGGCCCACAGCATCTTACATGGACTCCCTTCACCTTTTTTTTTTTTTTTTTTTGTAGGTGTAAGAACTGACGTCCAGAATGATTAAATAGGATTTTCTAAAAGCCACCGAATTGAGCCATTTAACATTGTCTATAGAAGCCAAATCAAACTTCCTCAGGATGAGCACACTCCCCTGTATTGGATGCCATGCCTATTACACAAAGTACAGCGTGGTCCCAGGGCTACACAGTATTGGCTCTACCCAGGAGCCAGTTAGAGCTGCTGAATTTCAGTCCCCATTATGAACCTACTACAACAGAGTCTGCACTTTGTCAAAACCTGCTAGGTAATCCATAAGAATATCAAAGTCAGGGATGTATTGCAGTGGTCATTAGTTCTTTTCCAAATAGTTCAGCTGCAAGGGAGAGGTTGTTGGTAAGCCTATATTAACTATAGACACAACAATGTCTTGAAATGTATATTCTCAGCCTCACTTTGTAACCTAACTTAAATTACCTTCTGGCTGCAAAATTATCTTAGGGTGTCTTTATGGCAGATCTAGACTTTGGAGGGAGAATCACTATTCCCCAGGGATGAGTCCCCTGATAGGTTATCCAATCCCAAATGGTCAGCCATAAACACCTACACATATGAGCAACACTAAATGGACTCTACAGTACAAAATAGGCTGTTTTGTGTATATAAGAATAATAAAGAAGAAGAGGTCATGAATTTTAGAGATGGGGGATACAGGAGGATTTGGAGGGAAAGAGGAAGGAATGGAA